ATTAAATATACTTGAATTATTGAAAGCAAAACTTTAAACTGTACAAACAAATACCTATGTCTTATACCTTTTTTATCAGATTAATTTCATATACTAATAGCCATCTAATTTATTTGTAGGTATAGAACGTAAGTAAACACCATCTGAATAGAATTAAAAAAATAAGAGAAGGTCAAAGTGATGTATTTTATGCAGAGAAAGCATAATCAGATTCCACTTAAACCAAAAAGCGGTAGAGTTTACAAAGCTAAAACCAAGGCGTAAACATACACATGCCGTATAAACTAGTCTACAAACTTGTCAAGCAGTTTTTGTTCTCATTCCTCGGCTCTTTAACGCTACTAATCAGAAAAAAAAGTTAACATTTGAAAAAGTTAAATTTCCACTATCACTGAAGCAGTTCCTCACCTTCATCTAGAAAGCAAAGGCAGTGGGATGCTAGTGCAACAGCATACTAATTATCAATGGTTTAGTATAAGTACTTGTTTATAGAATTGGTTGTATATATGTTGTAAAACTGGTTTTATATATGTTGTAATTTGTATTTTGTTTGTCACAAGCAATAAAAATCATTGTGTATAAACACATATAATAACTGAGACAACTTTACATGTGAATAAAGTACAGATTTCAAAGCCACTAAAACATGACTGAGAAGCAACACCATTGTCTGCTTGAAACTCAATGCAATGATACTAATTCAACAGCAGACAAAATATTAATGACCTAGTATGGAAATTCTTTGATAGACACACTTAAGGTAGATTAACTGCATACCGCCATCTTGGATTGTAAAATAGCAGTTCACAATAGGTCTAGTTCTTTGCCTAAATCTGCAAATATTCAGGCAGATTGGCAATAAATGGGGTTAGAAAGTTTATTGGAATAAAAAAAATTAAGTGATTCATTGCATTATTCAAACTAATTTATCAAATACCAAATATTTGTGATCATTCGAATCAAATTGTCAGCTTAGCCATATAAGGGGACATAACTCAAATAAATGTAGTAACATTTTTATACAGGAATGATAGAGACATTTTTAATTTGTACCTGTAGCAAGAAAAGAGGTCGGGGAGACCATTTTTTTCTTTTTATTTTCTTAAAGCATATTTTAAAACCTATCTTCCAATATTCTATCTCATAGATTTCTTTTTATCCACAAAAGTGTTTTTTTCATGAACAATCTAATTTGAGCAATTTTGCACAACTTGTAGCTTGAAAAGCATGGTATGAATTCCAAAGTCACGGAAACTCGACTAAAAGAGAGGTGAAAGATACCAAAGGAATATTAAAATTCATAAGTCGAAACCAGGCTGACAATGCCATGGCAAAAAAAAAACAAAAAACGATAAAAAGACAAACAACAGTACACAAAACACAAGATTAAAACTAAAGACTGAGCAACACGAATCCCAACAAAAACCGGGGATGTTCTCAGGTCCTCAGAACGGGTAAGCAGATTCTGCTCCACATGTGGCACCCGTCATGTTGCTCGTGTACGTACAAACCCGGTGATAAGTCTAATTCGGTAGGTTACATTGGAGGAAAGTGGACGGGATTGTGGTTACAACAATTGGAACATATCCGTCGTCATCTGTGAAACAGATATTCCATAACGGTCAACCAACTCGTGATGGCGTCTGTAAAATTTTCGAAGGGATGATTTCAACTTCACCACTTGAAACTCTTGGTTCAATAGCTTCCTTGTAAGTAGTAACCCTGTATCAAAGAATTCATTATAGGAAATACAAGCTCTGGAATATCGTATCAACTGGGAGATATATACTCCACATCATATGCAGGTGCTGCTGGAATGTTGCTACATAAAAATGGCAAGTTCACAATTGGGAAGCTGAACTCATCTCGTTTGTCGCTGACAAAGGAGCAGAACCTTATATTCTGCTTGAATATGAATTAACTGGGTGACAATGCAACATGATATCAAATAACACTGATCTGGAATAAAAATTAGCATACCTGATCAGACGTTTTAATATTTGAACAAGGTAAAATAGTCTAGAGTATGACCGAAGGTATGTAACATCACACCCCTAATCAACGCAGCAGCATGCCAAGTTTCAATGATATATCATAGACGCTTATTCATAAACACACAAAATCAGAAAACTTGACAGTCACTAGAGAGGGTCCATTATACAGCACCAGTTTAGATGCATTGCTGTAAATGAAACTGTATGTTTAATATCCTAAATGTAGCACAAGTACATTTACTCTGAAATGGACAAAATTACGACAATACTTTTTATTACGTGTTGACAACTACGACGACGCTGGAAAAGTAATAACTATGTCTTGCCTATTGTGCATGTCATTTGTTACAGGCGACACAAAATGCGAGGTAAAGTGATGTGTTCTTTTGATTAGTTTGATATTAAACACAAGAAATGAGCAAGTCTAAAACATCAGGCCTCTATGCCAACCATGATCCTCCTCCAACTCCACCATTACACAAAAACCGCAAGCTTTAATCCAGTGAGTACCAGTTGTAATCAGTCCTTGCAAATGATGCTTCTTTATTTACAAGAAACGATCCTGGGAAGTGGTTTCTTTTTTCACAAGAAACAATCTTGTAAGATTGTTTCTTTGGTCAAAAGAAACGTTCGTGCAAGGTTGTTTCGTACCAAAGACACATTTAATTTATTTCACACACAAACTTTCAAATAAATGGAAAATAACATCAACCCTTTGAATATCACCTACCAGTACCGTAATTTATTTTCACATATTAATGGAAATGTAGTGACGTACATGACACCACTGTCTCGTTGTGCTCGAGATAAAAGATGTTTCCAAGATTCGGCTACCATCAATTTAAGTCCGAAATTAATCACTCGCCAAACAGGGAGTAAAATGCTTATATACTAGAACTGTCCATTGAATGACACCAGTACATCAGTTACAGTTTTAAAGAAGTCAAAGTAAAGTTTGATATGGCCCTTTAAACACTATTGCAATAAAGTTACTTGCTATGACCAGATTTTACGTTAAACTCGTATGAAGTTTGTTGGTTAAGTTATATTAACTATAACTTAAAGTAAAACACTTAAAACTTAGTGCATTCGGTGCATTTTCCTTGATTTATATGGCCAGCTAAAAGGTTAAGCCCGGGCAGTATTTCACATAATTTTATGAGAGTAACCTTGACATTTAAAAAAAAAACCGTGGGTTTCAAGTTGATGAAATACGAATAGAGCATACACAATAGCCTGTACATGTATCAGCTTTAACTATGATCTGACACCCTTGGGTCGGTAGCAACAATAATGTGAAGATTGATTGGTGATTGCTGAAACCCCATGGTCAAGTATTAGATGCAGATTCAGCATGAAGACATATTAACCTCTTATGAACAAACATTGCTTGCACTAAGCTGACACGCACACTGAGTAAGATGTTTACATGTTAGCTGACACAGAAACAGTCAACTGAGAGACATGTTATAGACACATTATTATGATGTCAAACCAGGAACATATATATTGTTAGTTATACTGTTCCAGGTCAAACTGACCAATCATTGCTCTTACTCCATGATGATGTGTATTGAGCAAGGAGCCAGCAAATTAAACATTTTGAGGATGAACCCATGACCTCCAGCACTTGAGACGAGCTACCACATCATCATAGTGTTTATGTGAAGGCGACACTACATTGACCCAATCCAGAGTTTTTCTCTTTCAGGTCTATTACCAGTTTTTTTACAGTAATTAAAAGAGCTATCTACTAGTGCAGTTGGGAGAATCTCTCACGGTATATTCGAGGATTGTTTTTTTTAGGTCATGTATTATTTCCACAACGGTATTGATTATGGTCAAATTAATGCAGGTTTGAACTCCTCTTTCATTTTAATTAGAAGGCTGTGTTTGAAAAACTCATCAAAGATAGCCGTCATATAATTTGAAATCAGACATGCTTTTTATCTACATAGGAATCATCAGTGACACTCGAATCAAAACAGTTGGAGGGCCAAATCATATATCAAGCTTATGTATGTCATCTTATAGGCAGAAGGCCTAGTTTTCCTAAATGACCTATAGAATGGATTCTGTAACAATAACATTTCAAGTTTTTATGGAAAATTTGGGACACACCTTTTGGATTTCTCTCGTCGTTATTGTTAGTGGTATTGATCCATATCAAGAGTATATATGCAATAATATTGATAAATTTAGAATTTTGTTTATGGAGTCAAATTTTAGACTGAAAACCATGATTAAGTAATGCATATTTCGCCTCTAGTAATCCTTTTTCGTTTTTTGTTGTGTAGTTAATTGTTTAGAATGGTTCCTAACCATATGCAAATGTATAAGAATTGAATTTCCTTCAATTGGTACATTTTTTGGATCAAAAATGTAAAACTGGTAAAGACAACAATGTCAAGATCTCATCTTTCGTATGTGTTTGCAGATTTTATATAGAAACAATTTATTATTTCTTACTTAGTACGTTGTACAGATGTGCAAAATACTATTCTTTTATTAACTTGTGGTCCTTATAAAATTCAGAAATTGTAAAATGGATATTCTTGCCAGAACTTGCCCTTTCAATCAATATCCAAAGTATTTTTTGGTTACGTAGGTATGTCATATTATTACTTGGAATATATTTATGTGCATTAAGGTTTTAAATCTTAATTCTCCTAAACATGCATGAAATATTTGCCACTGAACGTTAATCTAACAAGAATCAATCATTAATTTTGATTGACTTATTACACACAATGTTTAGCCACCATCAATCATATAAGGTTCATGATTCTAAAAATATAAAATCAGTTATCTACATCTTCTTCTTTATCGCTTTACTAAACAATGTATTTTGTTTAGCAAAAGTTTTGTTCAAGATGACCAATTTTGGACCTAATATGATGTACGGATATGAAATTATGTAATACATTGATAGCTATTATTACAAAAGGTATAGAAGGTTTAGTTAAGATTTGTATATATTCCTTTCACAGAAAACGAACAAGCATATAATTGAGCACATTATGTGTGATTTTATTTAAAGCTGTTTTTAGACATTCACAATGTATATGTTGAGATGTAACTATGTTACAAACATTTCAATGAGCTTTAATACTACAGCATATTATCAGCAATTGTAAGCCATGAATTTTCTTACGCCAAGCACTACTGGACATTTATTGATAATTACAGACACCTGTTGACTTAAATAATTGCCTGTGATCAAAGGACTGATTGTATTACACTAGTTTTTTTTTAACAAAAATTCTTTGTTTAAATTCAAATAAGAAACAATTAACAAAATAAGGTAACAAAAGACAAGAATAAAAAGAAAATAGTACACACACAAAAATTTCTGATTTGTAAAAAAATGTTCTAATATTTCATTAATCTTACACTATTTTTAAACACTGAACATTGAATTTGAACTTATAAATCTAATACATGAACATGTTGATGTCCTTACAAAAAATCAATCCCTTTGTAATACTTATGCCAACATAACTTTGCTATCCATAAACAATTAACAACATGTATTTCATTAATACTGATATTGAACCTGTGTATTACATACAGCTCATTCTACTTATGTCATGGAAAAAAAACATTATTGTGCAAGACCTTATTTAAATATTAAATAATCTTCAACATAGTCTGATAACCCTTATGTAGTTCCAGACTTAACTAAGGTTGCCATTTAATGACTATTCAAATTTTTATAACATTATAAAGATCTATAGAAAAGATAGAGTGGATTTCATAGCAAATAATATTCACCAAAAAAAAAAAAAAAACTGGGTACAAATTCTCTAAAGAGACAATTCTGCAATATCTATGAAAAAGTAATCCAGTTAAAAAATATGGCTTATTTAATCCATGCTTAAATTTTATTTTTGAATTAGTTTATATATTAAAAAAAATCAGACCAGCTGATATTTCTTCCTTATTTAAGTTTTTGAATAAAACTGGGGAGCCAGGACCAATTAGGGGAAATAATTTTGAAGAATCATTATAAATATAAACAAAATTATTCTTATTTTGTTCAATTCGTTTTTGGTAAATTAATATCAAAGCAACATTAAAAAAAAATGTGATTTTTAAATCAAATTTCCTTTCCACTAAACATGCTAAATACCTTGAGCCAATTTAGGAATTAATTTAAATATTCTATATAAAGAACCCCATGTTTTTGCCAATGTATTCTCCTTAATAATTGCAAACTGAATAATATTCCTTTTTTTCAAAAATCCCTTAAAGAAATATTCATTTCTTTTGAGTATCATCTCTCCTTGAATGACCAGCAATGCTTTTAACAAAAAAATGCTAATAACTATGCCAAAGTCCAGCAATAATAACTGAGCTTTTTATTTTAAGCACCATGAATATCGACCTTTTAAATGCATTTTTTAGCAAAATAAATACTGAGCTTATTTACACTATGATGGATTTATGAAAATTTATCACAATATACATACAAAACAGCAAATCACAATATACATACAAAACAGCAAAAGAATAAATGTAAAAATCTAATGCAAAACATGTATACAAATAATTACTTCAATGGTCACATATACACAACATTCTCACACATTGCTAACTTCATTGGCACAAAAACCTTAATGTACATGTATGCTTCAAAAGCAGATTTATTTTCCCTATGGAAATGTCTTTACTTAATATCTTTTCATTTAAAAAAAAAAACTGTTGGTAAGAAGTTAATCTTTTTCCATTTCTGATCAAATATGTCTAGTATGTAAATATAGGTATACCAATAAGGACTCCATAATGTAAATTATCAATGTGGTCCCACTTCACTATGAAAATATTTTGCTGATATTTCAAACTTAAAACTGTTTTCTAACAAAATTTAACTTTTTACATTCAATGAGTAAATATGTATGCATATCACAATACAGAATGTCAAACAAAAGGCACAAGATGAAATATACAAGTTACTTTGATTGAAATCATATATATTTTGACTTATAGAGCACTTTGAGTGCAAACATATTGCTATGATAGCAAAATCCAAAAAAATCACCATTTCAATTATGTAAATCATATGAACTGAAAATTTCAGTTTTAAAAACTCTTTACTTTTGTAATCATGGTATCTCTCCGATGCAAATCTTACTTCCTTCTTAAAAAAAAAGTGAATATATTTGCATAATTGAAATGATATATTTTTTATGAAATGAAATAAATACAACACAGTTTGACTGTGAGTGAGATCAAAACAACATTAATAAAGTATGGAGCACCAAGTTGCCATAATCATTTCACATGCTGTGGATGCTCTTCAAAAACATTAACTTGTATAAACAGGCTAATCCATGCTTACAGATTCATCATAATAAGTTTTTTTTAGAAAAGTTCCACCACAGATACAGCATGTCTTTGTAAACACTTCTTTAACAAACCAAAATCTAAGACCTGGATTCCAATCATTTTGGATTTCTTTCTCAGAATAAGGAAGTTCTAAGTTTGGAATTACAACATGACATTTTAAATTCATTGACTGTCTAATTGAACCTCATTGACTATTTGCATTGCTTTGTCACATATTTCTCTTGCAGCTTTAGTGTTGTAGTATTCGTTATCATTTTCATACATTTTTGGTGTAAGCGTGTTTAACATGTCTCCCTCACTATTCATGTCTTCAAAACTTGGTGTTCCAACTAAGCTTCCCTCAGGCGACATCTGAGGACAATTTGAAATAGTTTCGTAATTATCATCACCACTATCATATGAAAAGTCTAATATGTCTGCTGAGGAATTTGACCCTGTACTACAGGCAGAAAGTCTTTTTCTAGGATCGGTGTGTCCACCCTTTTTCAAAATTCCTCTTCTTGGCACTACGGTGGTATTGTTGTTACTTTCGACTACATTTTCGGGATAAGAGAATGTATTTTTTGTCTCTGTGGGTGATCGATCAGTTGTGTTTAATACATTGTCAATATCAGATAAATCGTAAAGCATACTGTTGTTTTCTTTAGTGTCTGATCCCGGACTTTTAGCTCCGGATTCGTTAAGTATACAACCACTGTCACCACCACTGAATTTCCCTTTCCTCTTCAGAATACCTCTTGCCGGCTTCTTTTCAGAATCAAAAACTTTTTTATCATCAATGGAATTATTATTTTCAGAATTATTGCATGTAACATTTGGTCCTTCTTCGGGCATTACCATGTAAGCTGTATTATCATCCTTGACTGGTTGTAATGGAACTTTTATTGTCTGATCTTCCTCCGCAGCTTCCTCAGCAGAGCTGTAGGAAGTTTTTGGCTTCTTCAATATCCCTTTTAATGGTTGAACTGGTTTAACTTGATCCCCTTCACTCTCGCTGTCAGAAGACAAACAGGGTGAGCATCGAGGTTTATACATATTAAGCATATCAGAACTAGGATATTGCTCTCCAATTGGTGTCTCTTTGTAACCTAGATTGACCCACCAATGGTTCAGAATATCAGACATTTTTGCCCGTTTTTTAGGATTGACTGTGAGTAGATGACGAATTAAACCTGCAGCCTCTGAAAAGACACAAAATTCAATTAAAACATCAGATAATATGTAAACAAATAAAACAAGATAATAATGGAGCAGAATAATATTGGATACATAATCATGTTTATCATGCTTCCCTTCTCCTATATCATCCTGCTCAATTGCTCTGTAATTTTTGTATCAGGGATATAGGACCTGAGCAGAAAGGACCTGAACAGAACCTATCAAGGACGTCACAATTTGTAAGGAAAAGTTGTCAGCAACGTCACAATGTGTGTGCACAGAAGTTATCTAGCATACTTTCTTCAAGCGTTAAAGTATCTATGTGAAGCTTTTTTTTTTCGTTTGCGTTACTCACTCACAAAACAGATTCACATATGGCTAAAGGTTGATATTTTTTTATATCAAGGTGCAGAAAACCCAATAGTCTTTACTCATTCAGCTTTGCATACTTTAATAAAGTTGATAGCAGAAATGCTCAGAATACCAGGTAACAATACAGAACCCGCTAATGATTTCTAACATGCAATGAGAGTGACATTCTCCCAACAAAAGCCTGTTATTCATATTTTCCATGAAATATCGTTATTTTTGCTTTTAATATTTTAAAACACAATTTTCCTTAATCTTTTTTATTCATTCCATAACAAAAGCTATATATATTATTGAGACCAAAGTTTTAACCAATGAGATGTTGTCAGACAAGCAGATTTTTTATTCATGTCATTCAGTCTTCTAACAAACTGTTTAAAAACAAACATATTTTCTTTTCTTTTTTGTCGTCAACTTTCATTGCTAAACTTTCAGAAGATAAGGTTGTTGTTACTCTCATGGTCAATGCCAACGATTAATAACAACCCGCAAATCTACAGATTGATTGAGCACATAATGGGATTAATGAAACGCTAAAGTGATTATGATTAAAATCATTAACAAAAAGCAATGGTCTTTGAAGGTCATTTTAACATGAACTGATTTCAGCTCATATTAATTTTTAATATCTTGATTTAATGACAGGTGGTTAAACAGTTGTATAACCTTGCTTTTAATTCCAACCATGTCAATGTTTTAACGCACTGAATATAGAAAAGAATTATTCAAAGTATTTGTATGTATCTTCTTACATCAAACAAGTTACTTATAATATAAAAACAAAGTTATGACTCAATTTTCAGCTGGGTGTTCAACAACCGACAGTCAATCTAATAACACAATTTTAAACATTTTGCCAAAGAAAAGGTTGGTAAAGAATGATTTTTAAGGCTGGTTTTTATTTCACATAAATTTGGTGAAAAGCCCATATTCACAATTTTTGTTTAAAAAACAAACCTTAAAATTAATTTCCGATAATCATGAATTCATTTATTTCAAACATTTTCTTTAGTTTACATGACAATCTACCATTTCTTTACAAATAACTATGTAGTTGTAACAGACTAAAGGCATACCTGAAGGTGTATTTGGTTCAAAATAATCGCCATTAGATATCTGTTTTCTTAGGGTTTTAAAGTCTGTTCCTTCAAAAGGCATGGCACCATAGACTAGTGTGTAGAGTATAACTCCTAAACTCCAACAATCAACCTGAAACAAAAAGATTTACTTGTAAAGTATGAAGCTCAAGATTTCTTCTTGCTTTGCACAAGGAGTTTTTTGCATAATACTCATTTTTTTTGTGGAACCTCAGAGACTGACATAAAAGTTGAATGTTTTGCGTACTGTCATAGGCCATTATCTAGTCAGAACTAAAACAACTTCCAGCTTTATTGCTGAACTTGTTTGCAAGTTCCAGGGTATACTGGAAACCAGTATTTATTTCAGAACAAGAGAAATATTCTGCTCCAGATTGTTTTTTTTTTTTATATCAGAGTTATATGAAATAGGTACTGGTATATGAATATTGATTATTGAATTCCCAGGAGACAAGTGCATTCTGATTATATATTTTCAACAGAGGTCTAAAGTGTCAATCAAATTAGGAAATAGATGTATTGAATAGAGTCCAAGCGTTCAGCATTTTGATCTATCAATATGCATAACAAAATAATAATAACTGATTAAAAATTAAAAAAAAAATCATTTAATAAAAATTAGCTTATGCTTTAGCTTTGCAGTGTTTTAGTCTTATATTTATGGCAGTAATAAGTCAGATCAGAAATCACTGGACCTGCATTCATACAATAAACTTTATACCACGCAAACATGAGTCTACTTTGAAACAAAGAATCAAGTAGATTAGCTAAATCTTTAGATGGATTAACATCCACTTACACCTGTACCATATTAATTGTAATTAACTAAGGTATTAATCCTGTTATATAAAATCTTTGGTCCTATTTTTTGTTGATTTGGTTAAAACAACACCTCCCCAATCAACCAGTCCTCAACAAATGCTTCTTAATAGTCTATATCAACATAACTTTATTGTACTCTTACGAGTTACAAAAGGATTAAATTCTAACATTTTTTAAGTTCGAAAGTTCATAACTTTAGTGGGCCAGAATACAAATCCCTTAAAGTGTCCAGTGTTTTTGACTAACAGACTGTTTGACGACTTTAATGATGTGTTGTACTGATATTTTGATATGATTTAACGTTTTAAATTGAACGCATAATCTGCAGTCAACATACAGATTTTTCACACGGATAACTAAACATCTTGAAATATTATTTGTTTACTTTAAATGCACAAGATTTACAAGCTGGGCGTTATTTAAATAAGAATTAAGGTCTTGTTTCGAGCTACATGTACCTTAAGTCAAACGAACAAATAGAAACTATTTCTTTTTGCATAATTTATTCAGAATGCCCTATAAATCTTTAAATTCAAATCTTTTATTTACAAAAATTCCCGAAAGGTGTTTTCAAATAAGCCAAATATAAAGACAGCACTTTTAGCCTAGTCACAAGACGTCACATTACATCCAGATAAAATAAGAAGAACAAACATAAGGAAAATCCCGAGGTCACAACTTTAAAGTAAATAACACTAACATTAAAGTGTCACTAGTGACTTAAGCATTCCATCTTCTTTTTACCATATTTAATACACTATTATATGGTTTATCTGTTTTTAATACAAATCAATGAAAAACTCATTTGTTACTATTAACAGACATTTTTATTATACTTATAAATGTTATCTTGAAGCAAGTTTAATCCTTATGAAGTGTTGGCTTAAATGAGCAGAAAAAAGGGGTTTTTCCTCCTTCCCAATTTTGGCATTTTCTACCGATCTTTCTTATAGACACATAAAATGAATCCCTGGTGTTTTTTTGAGGGAGGGGGTTCTTTCCCTTTAATATATTCATGCAAGTGTTAGTTTTTATATAAATTAAGAAAAAAATCACAAATGCCCTTTTCTAAAAGAAAATATTCCAATTTTGAATATCATATAAGCATTTAAAAAATTTCATGTTTACGTGCAGTTATACTCGTATGTACAATTTTAATTGGTGTTTTTCAGTAAGGTAATTGAACTTAAAAAACAAATAGGTTTAAAATAAAACGTTTAATTGGAAATCATGCGTTCAACATTTGATTGAGACCACAAAAATAAACACATTGAGACTGTATTTACAACTTTCGGAAAATAAATCAAAACAAATGAAGTATTTGAACAGATTTGAGATAAAAACATAGTTGTAATGACACAATTTTACAACCGAAAACAGGCCTCTATTCTAATTTCTTAATCTGGAACAAAATAAGGGTTTGTTGACATCCTGTTACTGACGTAAAAAGTTTAAAATCTTTGATCTTGAAACTATTGGAAAATACCAATTTCATGTAAACATCCTGAACAAGTGTGTAGAAAGCATGACTCCAATGTAAAAACTTCTCAATTCCAAGGTTCAGACTCGTCTCCCAGGAGAATGAAATTGATAAAAATTGGACAAACATTCATCTAAATTGAGATTACCTGACACTTTCATCTTAATCATGTTCTTTTTTACTCTTTACATTATGTAAATACACAATTTTTAGAGAAAGTATCTCAGGTGTCAAAGATTTGGTAGGTACAAAAGAAAAGTTTATTAAAATATTGAACATTGGATTAAACAACCATCAAAACACTTCCATCAGACCTATTTCAGACTAATTGTTACAATTATAGGCAAAAACTAGCAATGAAAGAATGCTTTACATCTTCTGACTCTTGAGTCACAGATACAAGAAAATGTTAACCTGAACATGAAACAAGGTTGAAGTCTGCACAATTGACGTCAATTGTATGAAATGTGCATTTTATTTGTAAATTACATCATTTTACGTCCATGTTTTACAGTACTTTGATTAACTATAAATGCTTCTGGCTTTTTAAATTTCTTATTTTTTGCTCACGGTCGATTTATTCTTGAGTTGTACATCAAATTTTATTCCATTTTTGCATGTTGTTCATTTTTTTTTTTATTATGAAAGACTTAATCATTGAATACAAAACGTGTGTCATTTCAAGGAATGAATCATATACATGTACATAAATATAACTCTTGTGTCGTTTAGTGATCAACTTACAATAAGGGCATATTGTACTTTTCTAAAAATGATTATACAGCCTGGTGCAACATTCTATTTTCATTTTGAAGGAACATGTTTTAAAAGAGGGTCTAGATTTTGTTAAAGCTAATTTTTCTTTATTTTACTGTTTCTCTTAAATTATTGGGATTCTTTATTTCTAGATTCATAAAAACTGCTTCCAATTGTTCAGATCTGACATATCAAATAATCCAATTGTCCTTCAAATTCTCAAGGTTATCAAAATTGGTTAAAGATTGGAGGACATTTTGCTTGTTTGGAAAAAAAATCTAACTGAGAATGTGCTGTTTGCTTGTTATCAGCAATTGAGAGATTTTAACAATATTTTATTGAATTTCAATCCCAGTAATTTGGGTATTTTTGTATTTCCCAGACAACCATATAGATCCAGAGGTACTACACTTCCTTAAGATAAACACCCTGGGCCAAATAATGATTAGTTCAAAGGACTCGTATTTATAAGAAACTAAATTGTCACTGAGTTATACAGTACTGAACTGTCCTAGATTTAGGACATGAAATAATATTCAGAATCAAGAAGAGTTTTTCATCATTTATTATTTCAGTAATTTCTGAAAAAGGTAAACAACTGAATTTATCTTTTTTTCTAATATTTAAGAAAAATTCTTTTGAACAGAAAGTTTTTGTAACAACAAAGTCTGACAAATAACGAGATTATATCTTATGGTCTATAAATATAGTTTTTTAATACAAAGTGTTTAACTGACTGAGACATAAAGATATCTTCTGTCTAATGAATAGGACAAAAACATATTCATACAACCTTTTATACAGTTTTTATCACAATAGAAATAAGCTTCTGATATATGTATGTTTACTTTAAAATAATAACAATTAATCTGAAAAATCAAGGTCTGTTGACATTGCTGTTTTTTCTTGTCAAACACAATGAAAACAACATTTCTTTAAATTCCATATAATATTTATTTGTGTAAGAAGAGAATAAAAAACTTTTTAAAAGAATGTGTACAGATATTTATTTCCTTTTGGCAACATTTTCTAGCTTTTTTCATATTCAGTTTGCCGATTTAATGTTGATTTCTTGTCACATGAAACAATTCAGGATATTTCCTTCTAACTTGGTCTTCCTCATACCTTCACAATATATACCAGTTAAAACATATCAAGGACAGGGATTTTATTACAATATCATCAATAACGTTATTGTTCAAAAGAAATAACCCCCATTAAAGTTCTTACATACAAAAAGATTAATACAGTTTTTTGTTGAATAATTGACACCACTCAATTTTACTGGTAATAAATTATTTTTTGTCACCCTTGCCAATAAAATGAACCTTAAATATACATCTAATTTATTTTAAATTGCATTTCATTGTAGTTTTGACTGAAAATAATAATTACTATTTAATATGAAGACTAAAATTCTTTTTCCCAACACAAGAAAAAATATGAGTAATTTTATTGGGGTAAGAAACCATTACCCAAAATATTTTCCTATGGTCCTTCAGAATCTATTGAACAAAATAGAATCCAAAACTGACACAGACTAAAGTCTCCTGTACATCTGACCAGTCAAAAAATGGTCATCAACTATTAGTTAAATAATCACAATTGACTAATGATTTTACTACTATTATACAATCATATTTAGAATAGACCAAGTTCATGTATGTAAAGTTATTGAGGATTGATTTATACATCTGAATATTGAAATTTGTAAAAAAAATAAATTCCATTTAACTGTCAATTTATGACATGAAGGAATTTAACACTAACTTAACATAAAAGGGAAGTATTACTTTGGCTTTGACCTTCAAACTTTTGCTGATTTTGCAGGTGTGCATTTTTTATGCAGAAATATCTGTAAGTTTTCTGAAATTGGAATCACAAAACTTCAATTTTTATCATTACATTGTAAGGAAAGAGGTTCTTTCAAATTTCCATACAAAATATCTATAATGTGTCCTTGTTTAACATTAAAATTTGTATGTGTAATATAAAATGGAAAAAACTTGCATAATTTCTTTCCAAACCCATAAATTTCTTTTGGTATTGAAATTCAAATGCATAATTTCCTCATAATTCATATCTACAGATTCCAAATTTAAAACTGGGAGTCAATCAAGTTCAAACTTTGCTAATAAACAAATCCCAAAATAGCTCTTCGGTCTTGTATACCCAAAATAATAAATACTGTTTACACATTCATTAGGGGAGGTAATTTTATCCAAAAGTTTCAGAAAAGAGATAAAATCTTCAAAAATGAAATTTATAAATATACATGTCAATTGCTCAATAAATTTCTACTTTATGGGTTTTACCTGTGTGATTAGGTGTAGGTGACAAATGTTTTTACCTGAATGTTTAAAGCAGGTTGCACAGGTAACAACATTAAACATTTAAAATAAACTATAAATTAAATCAAACCAGATTTTTATGTAAAAAACGTTCTGCCTATTGCCATGGCAACTGTATTTGTTTTTCTAAGTTTAAAAACTACCCATCAGAAAGTCCATTTTTGCATTAATACTATCTTTTTTCTTTCATTGAAATTTGACATAAATTACAGAAAAGGGCGTACAAAATCAATAACTGCATAGTTTATCAAGAAATCAATGATAAAAGTCAAATCAATTCCTTTTCAAATGTAAAGAATGAAAAATCAATTTATCAAACTTGTTATAAAAGTTTTACTTCCGTTTATACTTATATAGATCTTAAATTGGGTGTTTTATCAATATATTTAAGACTATTGATGCTATCAATATAACTAAATGTTATTCAAAACTTCAGTAAATACATCTTGTTATCTGCAGTATTTCTCAACATCATTTTCACTTTTTATCAAACACTGACGTCAAGATCATATTGATCTCCAGATAATATTGACAGAATACTAGGTCCAAAAGTAAAAATCGTTTAAAAACATTTCTTCTTCTATAAATGGTGAAATGTGAACATCTGTCTGTTATAGGAGGTATTTGTTATTTCAAATCTTTAGGTGTTTCCCATGATTACCCTTTTAGGTGTCGACTTAAAGACTTATAATTCTCCCCAATCAGCTCTCATTTGAAGAGTTAGGACTAAATTTTACGTCTTACTTAAATAAAAATGGCAAAGCTGTTAAATATTTCATCCTTAATTCTGTGCACAAAAACACCACAAAGTGAGATAACTCTTACCTCTGGTCCATAGTAAGGCTGACCATTGACAATTTCTGGCGAGGCATAAAGTGGACTTCCGCAGAATGTTTTTAATAATGTGTCTTTACTGTAGAAATTAGACAAACCAAAATCTGCTATCTGAAAAAAAAAAATTATACAAATATTAAAAATTAATGTATTGCAAAAACATATGTAACCTTACTAGTGACCTTTTTCTATGACCTAACTCTTACGGTGACTTACATCATTTGACTTTCTCATTTTCATAATTAAGATACTTGACCCTTTGACTTGTTACGAAACTAATTCATAATACAAGTACATGTATTACCTAAAATATGTCACACTAATTGGGTTACTCTACATTATGTAACATTTTTTTTCAATTTGATGGATTAAAGTCCAGTATGTACAAATTTAGGTAATTGGTTTAGATTAGAAACATGCTCTTTTTTACTTAACCATGTTATATTTTCTTGTGGTCTGTGATATAAATTTTTCTTTTCATTTGGACCCTTTTCTCTGTGTGGTGAAATTCTTGTAAAATATCACAATTTGTACTTACAAAAAATGTATTAAGGATTTATTATTAAAGTTAAAACAGAATGTAATCATCAGGGATGTGGTGGGCGTGTGCCCCCCTAAAATTTGCAAAGCATAGGTTGTCCTCAGCTTAATAAAGAATATTTCCATAATTTTACCTCAAAAAAATTTCCCCCATGCTCCACTTGGCGAAAATTTCAGTTTGCACCCCCTCCTAACCTTAAATCCAGGATCTGCCCCTGATTATTATGGAAGAACCAATCTTGCAACTTAATTTGAAAAAAAAACTGTATCCTTGGAAAATAATAAAACACTTTTCTCTAGCACACAAGGGCTTGAAAATAAATTTGTTTGGTCCTTTACATGAACAAAACTGCAACATAAGCAGGAGATGATTAGGATGACTCTTTGAACTGTCGTGCTGTTTACCATATAATTATGAAATAAGACACATCAATGCCATAAGCTAGTGATAAACATTTTTATTTTTAAGGATATGTGTGACCTTGCATTCCAAAACAGCAAGACATACATCACTTTCGCCTATCACTTTCCGAATTAAACAAAACACCTTTCTAACGTATCATGACATCTTTACTCTTATTTCAGATATAAGCCCATATAAATACATCACCCATATATACAGGAATTCATTTTGTAAGATCCCTGATGTTAATGACTTAATCTTCAACTGACAACCTTACACCTATAAATGGATCCTTTTGTGGTATAATCACAAAAGGTTCTTCATTTAATGAAATGATATTTTAATCTGCTTTGCAAGCTTGTTCTTACATACCAAAATAGATTGTAATTTTAGACATGATTATAGTGTAAAGTATCAGCACTGGGAGGCTGTCAAGGTGTGCATACTTACCTATGAAATAAAATATCAAATTGATTCTAATGTTTAATGACATGATTGAAGAAAAAAAGGTGTCATTTGCAGAAATAATTGTATGTTTAGGGCAAAGTGTTAGCAAACATAAGAAAAGCATTGTCAACTTTTTGATAAATAATGAGGATAATTTTCGAAAGAATTTATCAAAGTGACGTAATTTATATCAGTATATGACATGATCCTTCACAAATTCCTGCTAAATATATCTGAATAAATGTACTTTTGAGTAGACAAAATACCAAGTTTAAAAGTAAGAAATAACAAACAAATGTTTCTTCCTTTAGTTATCTTAATAATTTGAGTAGAAGTGCATGCTATAAATGTGTTGAATGCTGTTTTGAGAATCCATGTTCCTCTTTAGAGGAAAGTGTCGTGTTTTTAGATTGCTATCTTATAGAATTTACCTTTACATTTTCATCAATGTCTAAAACAATGTTTTCTAACTTGAGATCTCGATGAACAATACCATTCTAAAACAGACAAATATAGAATACAATTAAACTTACAAGGTAAATTAATTGTCAATAAATGTAATTGAATATCCTGCATTAAGTATGCTGTATCCTAACATGAGATCAAATTCCTGCAAGACCACCTTTCTAAATTTCTGAATGCTATCATTTTACAATAACAGTAATGTCAGGATATAAATAAGCTATACTCCAAACCAGATGTTAAACTTGACATTAAAACTTTTTGAAAGAAATTTTAATAACTCAGCCGGTCTTTTTCCACAACATTTTTATAAAATATGTATCTTTATTCAAAAAAAGCTTTTCCTAGATTTTATTTTATAAAATATTTATAAGACACAAAAATATATATTGTATATTGTTATTCTTACTTGATGACAATAATGTATGGCAGATGAGATTTGGCGAAAGAGTCTACGAGCACTACTTTCTGTTAACTTCTGTCGATCATTGATGTAATCATACAATTCTCCTCCTAATGCACAATCCATGACTAGAATTATTTTGTCTTTGTTTTCAAAAACTGAAAAAAACAAGACATATCAAAAGTTATAACAACTATATACCAAAATACAGGCTTCAAAACTTTATCAGAAGTTACAACAGACAACCATGCCTTCGTTAACATTGCTACAATTCCATTATTTTAGGAGCCTCTTAAATCTTGATATCTTTGGTGGGTTTTCTTTTGGGTCATTTTTGGGATTTGGTGTTGAAGAGGAACTTTAATCCTCTGTGTTAAAAATTGTTAACATCTCTCTTACCCATGAATTAAAGAGTTTGGCATATTAAAATGTATCACTGACATTTTTACAGTAACAGAAACCTAACTAAATCAACCTACTAAAGATAGCCGCAGACGACAAAATAATTAAAATAGATTACCTATTGTTGTCTGATACATTTAATAAATCTGTTGCAGAAGATGATAAAGAAATGTGGTTTGACATAAAATTAATTCCACCACATTTAAATATATATAAAGATTAATGGTTTGAATAAAAAGGGTAACCCTGATGTACCAGGTACAAGGTAACAGAGAAATTCATCTTCTTGTCTGCGGTCAAGGCAGACACTGAAATATTTAATAAGATGCATATGTCTTCACCTTAATTCATATGGTATAGATAGAAACTGACAACTGCATGTTAAGATTATGTCAACTGCAATTTGAATGCATCAGCTACTCCTTAGTGTCAAGAGGGTTATTCAATAGTTTGTAACTATTATTATAATTAATGCAAATTAGTAATGGATGCGATGTTGAGTAATGCAGTGGAAAGAAAATTGACATGTATCTTACTACTATTACAGGTGTTTTAACAAGTTATAATTGCTGAATTGGTGATTGAAAACTAAGAATTATTTCCTCTCTAGATTATTAAACAGCTGTATTTTACTTCAAAAGGATGTATTTAGGGTAGGTGTGGAGTGCTAATAAATTCCAAAATTGGCCCTTCAAAATCCTAAGAGTATTTCCTTTACAGCATATTAAATTATAGGTTTAATTAATTTTCATTACAATATGTTTTTCAATAGAAAATAACAAATGCGGTATACATGTACCAGTCTTACTAAATACTTATGTATATTTCATTTGGCAAACACCTGCAAAAATGTACATTGCATTAGAGGTATTAGATATCCCTGGAAACATCTATTTGTATAAAATGCTGGAGTTTGTCAAACACTGCACTTTACATTTCATTAGAACTAGGAAAGTTGGAAAGTCATATGACCTTACACATATTAATAACTATAAATTTGACAAAATACATTTGTAAATCGTCAAGTACCCTACAGTCTGAATAGTTTTATAAGGTAATTAATAATGATAAAACTAGTCTTACATCAGTTACCAGACAATATACGATTTTACCACCCACAGGTAGTTTAAAGGGAAAAGACCTAGAGTTGCCATAGTATATGTTTATTAAAAGTGCATCGTCTCTTTTGAAGGCAATCTTATCAATTATCAATTAATTAAAGAGAAAAGAAAAGGATTCACCCTACAACAATCATATAAAATACAACCAGTCATATAAGAGTGATCTGCCCTTGATTGAAATACAACACAAAAACTGACTTTACAGGATATAACTTTTGAAGTCAAATAAGATAAAGAGCTGTCTTTTATTGAGATAACTACCAAGTTGAAAAAACAATCCAAAATTGATCATCATGTGAGCTTTTTAAAAGATACAACATGTATAAGACATCAGATTTACCGAGGTCGTTAGAAAAAAACCTCGTCCTCAGTGTAAATATATAGTACATATTCAATTTTTTTTGTAATATAACAGTAACTTGTATCATAATTTGAATAACTTATTTAATGTCTTTTAAAGTTAAAATGTTTGCATGCACATGTCTCAATCATAACATTATTTTTTTTATTTGCGTCATAAAGCATAACCACTTTACGCCAATTTCTTTTTGATCAGTTTATTGAATGATTATAGTTTCAATATAAATATTTCATGTTGCAATAAATGCTCCAGTCCAAAATGAAATGTATACCTATCTGTCAAAGTAATCCTTATGGTAACCATATAAAATCTATAAATATTTACTTAATTTAATCATTATTAAAATCTTAAATGTATTCTAATTAAACTTTCATCTTTTCATGACATTGGATTCCGTTATTTCATATTGTATCATGAGGGTGTGCCAACAATCTATACATTAAAACTATCACATTAAATTTTTAAGATGGAATTTCTTCCTGATAGTTATGCATGACTGCTCTAAACAAGAATATCAATTAATAAATATTTAACTCATTGGGTGGATACTACATTCAATATGTATCATATACATATTTTAAAATAATATATCAAAGCTTATTTAAAAGAAGTATTTTGTCGATAGTGAATCAATCATCAATTACTATTTGTATATTGGTAGTTCAGGTTTCAACTTTCAAACCTTAAACGTTTTGGCATGTTTTACGAAGCTTTTATGAAATTATCTCGCATTCATCAATATTTTTGTATGATAATATTGAATAAGATGACCTCGTCACAAAATCAACACAATCGCCTAGACAGAAATACTCTTCCATTGTTAGACAAATATTTGAAACAAAGGCTTGCTATGAACTATCTATTGATTTAAGAAACATTCAAATCAATCTACTCAACATTGTTTGAATATTATTAAAGATTTCTCAGAAACATCAATTTACAAGATTGAAGTGGGATCAGTGTGTCACAAAAGGGGAAGTAATTTTTTACATAGAGATATTAGAAGACTAAATCAATAAAGCCGTCTAGGATCTTGTTTAAATATGTTCCACCTTATAAAAATAGAAACTTTTTGCACCTCTTGCTTGACTATTTACATTGTACTCTATATTTAAGTCTGTGCAAATAAAAGTCATGATTATTTGTTCATTTCGATTGCTGTTAGCTGATATTACCTCAAATAATTTGCAATTCTTTACTTAACCCATCAATTTAACTAATTTCTGTCTGAATTTTAGGTAAATATTGTATATGTTTTCGTACAAGTCTTTGCATATCATATTCTGTCTCAAATATGCAAAGAATGTGATGATCCATTTAAAATTCCTGATAAATGATCCACTAATTAAGAAAATCTATTTAAAGCTACTTCACTGCACTTCAATTTAACACCTAAGTGCATATTGATATAAATTACATCTATTATAGGTAACTTGCTGTCAATTATTGAAAGATTAACACCTTCTTCATAGCTTTGTACCTGAACCGAACTGGCCTTTCTGTCCTCCATGCAAAGTTTTTTTTTTTAAACAGTATGCAATAAGCACCTGCAGGATGCTGCATTTTTCTCATAAAAATTAAGATACATTATTTTTTACAATATATCTTCGATAAAAGGAAGGTACAATGCAAAATGTTCCTGTGGCTTAGTGAAGATTTGATCACTGTCATCAATTTTATAAAAACTTTCTTCAGGACAAGTAAAATTGTTACTTTCAATTTTTTTGGCATTATGTAAATTTTCATAACTCTGAAATTAAGTGGAATACAGGTTTGGATAATTTTTTTAAGATGCATTCTGTTTTATGCTTATAAAGCATCCAGAAGATAATACCATCTAATTTTTTCACAGACAGCAATAAAAATGGTTATAATTTAAAAGACGTCATATTTAATTTTAAACTTGATTTGCCCACAAAAGTGCATGGAATTTTTGTATTTTCCCAGGTACCTTAAAATAGTTATATATATACATAAGTAATACATAATAGACAATAAATTTACACACAACATTAAATTGAGACAAATGATTTAATGAAAGGTTCTCTAAATTTATGACAAAAGCTTTAGTTGGTTAGCTAACAGAGGTATGCCAGGAATGTGTTTAATACAAGAAGATTATAATGCACTTCTCTTATATATGATATTGAGTAACTTTTTATATCTATGCTTTAACTTTTAAATAACAGGTTAAATATTTTCAAAAGATGGATTTCTACCTATTCAAAATTTATACAATTTAATAATGTAAAAGTTTTGAATGTTGTCAAGGCCAGGTTTTGTACACAAAAGTGAAAAGTTTATTATATAAAAGATAATCTGAATTTTACTTGTAATTAAAGCCCACTTCAAAATTGCTTAGAGGTGAATACTTCAACCTTGCTTCGATACTTTATATTGAAAATTCCAAGGCCAAATGAAGATTCAACATGCTTATTTTACATGTTTGAGACATGTATATGTTGATATTTGCAGCTCTAGACATACTGCGCCAGCAAAAACTGTAGACATACAGATGTCCACTTTTGAAAGAATACATCAATTTAAATAAGGGTGCACATGGCAACTGGTTATTTTGGTGCAATATGTTTAACCACTTTTTATTTCAAATGTTTTAGTGCAAAATGGTCATTATTCATAAAATTTCATGCATATGAGTTCAGATGCACAGTTCAAGCCAAATTCCTTTTTTCCTTCATCATGAATCACATTTCTTGTCACACTTTTAAGTGCACATATCCCCCTTTATTGATCCTCTCAAATATTTAAGCCTACATATACAAAATACATTTGTTACCATGAATGAACATATGGCATGTTTCAATATTTCATAAAGGTATACGTTTTCACTAAAACATCAAAATGAAATAAGATCTTTAAACTCATCTAGATATAATGCTAGGCTCCAATAATATATTGCTATTTTTAGTTTAAAATTCCAGTGCCATATTAATATTTGATTAAATTTTAAAACAAAAAGACCCTTGCATGTCAAACCCTAATTAAACAAAGGATGTTTCAACAGATGACGTCAACGGTTGTCCATTAGATAGGTCAAGGATTTTTAGAAACATCTGGGACTTAAGTGGACAATCATCTCTTTAGTAAAATAATTTGAACATTATTATTGAAAATCAATCCAGGGACAATTATGAAAATTAGATAAATATTTTACACATTTCATAATGTTACACTAATCTGACATAATGAATAGGGAGAGAATTGTGATTTAATAAGTTATTGAATATGATATGTCTAAATTCTTGGCAATTTT